AGCTCACTTGGTAGCCCAGGCTGGCCTCGAACTCACAGAGATCTGCCTGGCTCTGCCTCCCGAGTGCTGGGATTAAAGGCGTGCACCACCACCGCTCAGCTGGCATTGATGTTTTAAGAAGTCCTTCCAAGGGCCTGATGGTAGCTTGGTGGTAGAGTAGGTTTGACTGCCAGCACCACAAAACAAAATAAAACCTGAGCTCTTTATTTGACACGGGAAGTTCACAGTCCCTGTGATTTTAATTATAAAAATACAGCTGTAAGCCTGTATTTAAGACCTCCTTCAATAAACGGCAATCGGCATAAAAAAAAAAAAAATAAGATGAACATAAGAAATAAAAAAAAAAAAGTGGTGGTAGCTCACATCTTTAATTCCAGCACTTGGGAAGCAGAGGAAGGCAGATCTCTGAGTTCGAGGCCAGCCTGGTCTACAGAGCAAGTTCCAGGACAGCCAGGACTGTTACACAGAGAAATCTTGCTTAAAATAAAAAGTAAATAAATAAATACTAAAAGCCCCCCATCGCACACCCATACTGTTGAGGCCATTTCTGCAATTTGGTACATACCTTACACCATCGCACTATGATGCCTCCAGGTTTCTCTATTAATTCTTCAATCTGCACTGGTGGGCGGGAAGCTACTGTTCCATGCTTAAAAATGTGGTCTTTCACTATGTTGAGAATGGAATCATCCAGCTGAGCTGACAAACAGGGCACATCAACTAGCAAAGGCACTTCTGGTAAGCTAAGGAAACAAAGTCCATGTGTGTAAGACATGCTGAGCTTGGAGATGACAAAGCAAGGACTATTTCAGATGGTCATATGCTAGAAGAAGCCTAGAGGCCTCAGCAAATTAGTCTCTAGAAGTTGGAGGCTTTTTTGTGAGGGGTTTTCATCTTTATACTACATAAAGATTCTCTTCCCAAATAATTATAAGCAAGACAAAAAACTGTCAAGTGTGTAGTGGCATGTGCCTATAATCCCATCACTCAAGAGGCTAAGACAGGGGAATCACAAGCCAGAGGTCAGCCTGAGCTGTGTACACAGTGACACCCTGCCTTAAAAAAAAAAAAAAAATTGATAAAATCATAACTTCTGAGTTTATATCAAAAAATCTCATTTGCTGAAATAAGATTTGGTTTCAATAAGGCATTCAGAATATCTTTTTGTTTTGTTTTTTTGTGCAGAGACCACGACAATCCTCTACATATTGCTCCAATTTCATTATGAGTGCTGCTTTGAAGGCAGGCACCAGAATTTTTAGAATTTAACAATTCTATTAACTACTGGAATTGAAAAAGATCTAATAACACTATGTCAACTATTTCAACTGCAGCCATTTAACGATAGTAGTAATGATAATGGGCAGTAAAATCTCGAAACACGGGATTCTCTATTTCCTGTAATCAGAATTTTTTTCCCCCAAGACAGGGTTCTCTGTGTTACAGCTCTGGCTGTCCTGGAACTCACTTTGTAGACCAGGCTGGCCTCAAAATCACAGAGATCTGCCTGCCTCTGCCTCCCCAGTGCTGGGATTAGAATTTTTAATGGGGACTTAGGGGGTGGTAGGGTGAAGATCGAGATAAGGCAACTTAAAGTCTAAAATGGACAATCTCTTTTACCTGTCCAACTGAATGTGTGCGGCCTTTTTGGTAAAGTTCCACAATTTATCATTCTGTTCTTCTATACCACCAAGAATGGCGATCTCACCTACAATTGAGAGTAAGAAAACTAGCTCAGTAAAAAAAGTCACATTTTAAGGCCGTTATTACACAGTAACCAACACATGTCTACTGTGGATTTCCAGCTTTGTTGCAAGTTAATTCCCAAGCGACACACAATCAAACTCTCAAAATGACTTGGCAAGTCAGAGAGAACAGAGACCAAAGTTCTGTTCTCTAACTACACTCCAGCTCAACAACCGATTTCACACAGAGCAGAAAGCAAGGGCCAGTTCCTCATTCCTCTCATCAATTCTCTAAGGGTTTTTGTTTGTTTGTTTTGTTTTGTTTTAATTCTGTTTTTTACATTAATTTACTGGGGAGATATGTGCACACGTGGAAGTCAGGGGACAGCTTGGGGGAGTTTTTGTTTTTGTTTTTTAACATCATGTGAGTTTCAGGGACTTCCCTCAGGCTGTCAGCCTTGGTACCAAGCTCCTTTACCCACTGAGCCACCTGGACAGCACTTTTTTTTTGCTATGTAGATCAGGCTGGCCTCAAACTCATAAGCTACTTCTGCCTCCAACTCCTGAGAATGCTGGGATTCTGGGGTGAGCCACCACACTCCTGGCTCTTCTCTATCAGTACTAACAGGAACAAAGTATTATCCCAAGAGCAGCAAAAGGACACAGGAGCTTAAACAGCTACCAAATGACGGCAGCTGATGTGGTACATGTCTATTATCTTAGACTCTTGAGGCTGAGGTTTGAGACAAGCCTGTGCTACATAACGAGAGCCTGTCTTAAAAACAGTAGAATGATGCAGTCAGATTCCCCTGAAAACACACTATACATTGGATCAGAAATTACTCAACAGGCTGGGCGGTGGTGGCGCAGGTCTTTGATCCCAGCCCTTGGCAGGCAGAGGCAGCCTGGTCTACAGAGTGAGTTCCAGGACAGCCAGAGCTGTAACACAGAGAAACCCTGTCTTGAAAGAAAATAATAATAATAACAAAAAAAATTACTCAATAGAACAATAAGAAGGAAATGCTTTATACAGGGCATGAAAATGACCAACCTCTATATCCTCTGAAATGATGACAGATAGTGTTACATCACCAAGTGCACACTGGTTACTAAAGGTTTTTTTTGTTTTGTTTTTAACTATAGTTACGTTTATTTACTTATTCATTTTGTGTGTGTGTTTGTATGTGTGTGGGCATTCATACCATGGCACACATGTAGAAGTCAGAGGACAACTTACAGGAGTTGGTCCTCTCCCTCCATCACATGGTCTCAAGGTCAAACTCATCATTAGGCTTGGCAACAAGTACCTTTACTCAACGACCCATCTCGCCAGCCCTAACTCAAGTTTTCTAAGAGAATATGACCTGGGGGGGGGGGGGGACACCATAGGGCCAGGCAGTGGCAAGCACCTTTTTCTTTTTTCTTCTGGAGCGCTCTACCACTGAGTTAAATCCCCAACCCCAGCAAGCACCTTTAATCCCAGCACTCGGGAGGCAGAGCCAGGTGGATCTCTATGAGGTCAAGGCCAGCCTGGTCTACAGAGTGAGATCCAGGACAGGCACCAAAACTATACAGAGAAACCCTGTCTCAAAAACAAACAAACAAACAAAAATATACAGACATATTGACCACTGCCTCAAAAGTCTCTAACACTTGGGAGGTAAAGGCAGGATGATCAGAAGTGCAAGGTCATCCTTAGCTAATAGGAAGTTCAAAGCCAGACTTGGTTATGAGGCCCTGTCTTTAATAAAGATCCCTGAGCTGAAGAGATGGCTCAGGGATTAAGAGCACTTGTTCTTACACAGAACCCAGGTATGTTCCCCAGCACCCACATGGTGGTTCACAACCATCTGTAACTCCACTTTCAGAGAATCTGGCCTCCACAGGCACAGAGCATGCATGTGGTACACATACACATAAATGCAGGCAAATACTTATAAAAATAAAATGAATAAACTTAATAAATTAAAAAACAAACAGAGAGAAGTTTTTATCTTTTCTATAGGGGGAAGGGGGAAGAGTTTGAAATTAAAAATGTTTCTGAAGTATAAAAAAAATTCAAGCATTAAGTGCTATGACAGACAAGTACGTGCCTGAAAGGATTTATTTTCAAAATGAAAGCACAGCCCTCAATGCTATGGGTGTGTACACTGCAGCCCTGTGCTGACCTGCTTCTGGGTCTGTTTCCAAATTCAAAGCCTCAAGGGGAAGACATTCTGTGGTTCTGCTAAAAAGAATTTTCTCAAAAGCACTATTATGTCAGTAAAAAATAAACATGCCTCACTGAGGATTACAATTAGCTACACAGCGACTGGGAGGCCGGGGCCAATCCCTTACATAACTCTCACTTGAAACAGATCTTTGACATTCACTCTGCTCCTGATGTTACTTCTGCTTAGAATCACAGCCGCCTCTTTTCCCTCTGCTTGATGAATTTCTTCAAGCCTCTTCGAACTCCCACAGAAGGCTGTCCTAAACTTCCCCAGACAGACTCCTTTGTTCTTCAGTAAGATTTTAGATCTTACTCAGCATGACTCCCACTGAATTACAACCCCCAAAGAACAGAACTGTTATCTTTTTACTTAATAGACCTAACGAACGGCCTGCCCTGGACGTAAGAAGGCCAACCTCAAGGAGAGCGATAGAGATGAACAACCTAAGACTTCAACAACAAAACCTGCCTAAAAACTGGACTCTAAAAATGGCTGGGCGGTGGTGGTGCACTCCTTTAATCCCAGCACTTGGGAGGCAAAGACAGGAGGATCTACATGAATTGGAGGCCGGCCTGGTCTACAGAATGAGTTCCAAGACAGCCAGGGCTACGCAGTGAAACCCTGTCTCATCCACCCACCCCCGACCCGCCCCTGTCCAAAAAAAGAACTAAAAATGAAGTTAGGTGTGACGGCTTAGCCCAGCAAACCCAGCACCCACGCTGCTTCGTCAGGAGGACTGCTGAGAATTAATTCATGGCAGTCTAGACAATAATGAGATTCTGTCTCAAAAATATGAAACAAAACAGTAAAACAAAGTTGTGAAAATAAATGTGAATTTGCATGCTGAGTAGGTGACTGAAAAGATAATGCATGCGCTGGTCAGGTGGCTCAGTGGGTAGAGGCATTTGCCACCAAGCCTGCTGAAGTAAGCTCCATCCCTGGGCTACATATGGTAGAAGCTGACCCCAACTTTGTTGGCTTTTTCTGAGAATGTAATTTTTAAAATGTAATGCATAACCCCTTCAAAAAAATCGTGAATTAAATACCATAATCATAGAAGCTTCTGAAACAATCACTCTTTGTTTTATAAATGATCCCAATCAATACTTTGATTATACTTAGACTAAGGTCTTTCATGGCATATCTATGGTCCTGTACTATAAACTGTCTCAAGGCAGAAACATCCCAGGGACCCTTCAGATGGCAAGAAGCCTGCTAGTATCCGAAGAAATCAGCCAGGCATCAGTCTGAATGTAAGGATTTCACAGGTTCCCCGGTCCCCACCTTCTCGGACCAGGTCATCTGCAGTGTTAACTCCGTGCTCTATGAGCTTCTGGCAGTCATCTAACGGTTTGATGGTCTCCTGTTCAATGGTGTCCACCTCTTGCAAAAGAGTCACCAATCGCTCATCCAACAGCTTTCCAAGGGTTCCTTTTAAGTCACTGAAATGTTGTTTGAGGACATCTCTTGTCTGTGAAGCACTCTCCTTTATCTAAAAAGAACATGAAAACTTAAATTTAGAATCTTTAGGAGAAGTTAAAGAATAAGCACCATTCATAATTTCCTAATGTACCAAACAACTACCATGTTCCACTCATTGAAAAAAACATGGCACACTGCGATTGAACCCAGGGCCTCACACCTGCTAGACAAGCACTCTACTGCTGAATTATTATTATGTATCCACAGTGCTCCCTCCCCTTTCTTCTGTTAATTAAGATAGGGCCTTACTGTGTAACCCGAGGTTGGCCCCAAATTTATAATCTTCCTACCTCCCAAGTGCTAGGATTACAGGATGTATCATCAGCCTAGATCACACTTATTTAAAAAAAGGGGGAAGGGGGGGTTGGATAAAGCAGGGTCTTCAGGCCTGGAGCTTGCTCTGATCCTGTGATCCTCTGGCCTCAGCTTAGTAGAAAATTTTAATGTAGCCAAGCATGATAGAACATGCTTGTAATATCAGCACTCAGGAGGCTGAGGCAAAGCCTCATAAATTTGAAGCCTGCTCAGATTATATAGCAAGACCCTGTCTTACGAAGAAATTTTTTGGTCACTGAACTATATACACTTAAGATACACAGTGTGTTTTGATATACATATTCACAGTCAGCTGATACTTCTGTCAAGCTAATCAATGTAGGCATCTCTTGACATAGTTAATTATACTTTGGTTTTGGGGGACAAAAAACTATGTAGTGCTGGCTGTCCTGGAACTCACTCTTTAGCCCAGGCTGATCTACTCCACATTTCTGTAAACTGGACTGTTTCCAGACTCCACATAAATAAGATCATATAACACTTTCCTTCTGTGTCCCCCTTTGCACTTGGCCTCTTGATGATAAGCACGTGTCACTGCATTCAACTCAGTTGCTGCTGCTGCTGTCATTTGTACTTTTATGAATTTGCTTTATTTTACTTTTGTGTCTGTGTGTCTTCATGTGTGCACATGTGCATGTGGGCATACACAGTTGTCTTCCTAGATCACTGTCCATCTTATTTTTGGGAACAGGGTCTCTCACTGATCACGGAGCTCAATGATTGGCTAGACTGGCTGACTAATAATTGAAACAAGTAGTAATTATGAAATTCTTTGCCAAGGTATTCTGTGTACTCCCTGATAATTCAGATTGCCAGGGTTCCATCTGAGACTTGCTGAGCCTGCAGCTTAGAGGAGGAGCAGGAGGGCCTTATGCTTACAATTCTCACTTGGCATAGGCACATCTGGGATACTGTCCACAATTTGATACACTGTCCTCAGTCCACAGAGCTCAGATTAAGACTTTTCGTTCCAGGTTATGAAAGAAAGGTCTTTGTATCTCACATATATTGTCCTTCCTTTTTGGGGGGCATGATTTGACACCGGACAGCCTGGGAATTGAACCCAGGACCTCTGGAACATCAGTCAGTGCTCTTAATTGCTGAACCACCTCTTTCCCTCATTTACATTCTCTCACTTAAATAAAGTTAAATTAAAGCAAACACATGAACTGGGATATGTCCTGGTAATAGGGCACTTGCCCTGCAGTGCTAGGTCCTGGATTCAATCTCCAGCAATAAAAAAAAACAAATTCCCCAAACACACACTTTGCTTTACAAACAATAGTAGTTTCACATGACTATTATATAAACTACCCTAATTCTCTTGCCAGCTTTCTCTTGACTGGAGTGTTAGAAGTATGTACACAGACACATACACAAAATCTACCAAGAATGAACACCCCACCCCCCAAAAAAAGTTTCAAGCTGGGTGATGGCACATGCTTTTAATTCCAGCAGTGGGGAGGCAAAAGCAGTCAGATCTCTGTGAGTTCCAGGACAGCCTGGTCTAAAGAGTGAGTGCCCAGAGCTACATATAGTATACCCAGAGCTACATAAAGAAACCCTGTCTCAAAAAAGAAAACAAAGCCAGGTGGTGGTGGTGGTGGTAGTGGTGGACGCCTTTAATCCCAGCACTCGGAGGCAGAGGCAGGCGGATCTCTGAGAGTTCGAGGCCAGCCTGGTCTCCAAAGCGAGTTCCAAGAAAGGCACAAAGCTACACAGAGAAACCCTGTCTCGAAAAACCAAACAAAAAAAAAAAAAAGAAAGAAAGAAAAAAGAAAAGAAAGAAAGAGGGAGGGAGGGAGCGAGAGAGAGCGAGA